GCATTCTTCAACCCACTCTGATCTGGACCTTCCTTTCTAGTTCTATCCAATTGTTGTTCATTCTTCTTATGTCTGTCTCCATTTCTCAGCGTAATGTGTTCTTTGGTCTTCCTCTTCTCCTTTGGCTTTGAGGATTCCATGTGAGGACTTGCCTTGTGATGTAGTTGGGTGCTTTCCTGATTGTGTGTCCTATCCACTTTCAGCACCTCTTCCTGATTTCTTCTTCTGCTGGAATCTGGTTTGTTCTCTCCCACAGTAGGTTTTTGTTGCTGATAGTGTGTGGTCAACGGATCCGAAGTATTTTGCGTAAACAGCTGTTAATAAATCCTTGTATCTTGTGGATGATCTCTTTCGTAGTTCTCCAGTTCTTCAGTCTTACAATAGATATAATCTACAAAAATGGATGTTTTTAAATAGGCGCTTATTATGGTTTATTCATCAAAATATGACTGATTATGATTTTGTTCGTTAAAAAAAGTCACCTTAGACATAGTTATACATATATTATTTGTATAAACTAAGAAAAGAAATGTATTCATTACTCTAATTTATGGTCCCTAATCATCTATTTGCAAATATCTTAAAATTATAGTCGGATTAAAAACGAGACAATAGAGGTCGGCACAAATTATGCTATTCAACTTCACATGAACTACCAGATCTATATATTAAAAACATCAAAATAATTCAGAAAGGCTTTTTCAACTAGCAAGAAAGGCGAATAGCTGAAACGTTGTATATACTGCTAAATCTCACCTCTCTTAATAGAATAGGAAACATGGTTATTCATTCAGCTTGGACTATTACTAAACAAACACACGTAGTTCTATTCCTACCTTATATGATTACCATACACATACATACATACATTTCAACTCTACTCTTTCACATTATAAACTTCATAATTTTCTTACCATATGTTAGTTAGAGGGATATAAACTGGATTAAAGCATGTTCCATGCAGGATTGTGTTGGAGCACGCCTATTGGCTATTTCCTAACCAATTAGCACTACGGAAACTTAAAGAAAATTCTAGAATCTTATATGAAAATTACAAATATAGTAACGTTTTATTTATTGTGATTGTTACTTCCGTCCAACCTTGTTAATTGGAATACGATTACACTCCCGTTCATTCGTGTTCTGATTTGGGGACTTGTTGAGTGAAGTAGTGTCCAAGATTACTAAGCAGTAAAAGTAACTAGGTCGTCATAAGAGAAATCTTAACACCATCATACAAACACAAATATATACACGAATGTCCTATACAGAATTACATTGACCAAATAATTCACTTAATATTAAAATAATCAAACTTATGTTGAGTTTAATTGAACTAACTATTCTACCTTGTTCCTGTTTACTATTTTCACTTGTTTATCTACTTACTCTCTAAAGAAGCAATTTAAATCACGTTGTGAGACGTCAGAAATTGAATTTTCTACTCTTTTAGTTATCATCAATATACCTTTATCAATAGCATTTTATTCAATATATTCAATTTATTTGAAATTATCGAGTCTAATCGGTGAGACTATGATTTATGGATGACTATTGAGCGACGCCAAAGTGACCTTGAAAGTGTTCGCCTAATAACTAGGACCAAATGAGAGTTATAAACCAATGTAGAGAATTAGGATTATGATTTATAGTTCATAGTTAAGGTTAGAAATTACATTGAGGTTTTTCATCACGAACTGACATCAGCTATAATGCAAAAACTCTATTTAGCCAAATGGATGAGTGAATTTCGTGCATGAACGCGTAACTTCTAGACCACTGAGTCAATTATAATGGTGTACATGTCTAACTTCCGTATCGGACGAACATATTCCATTGCCTGTGATAATTAACTTAGTTATTTGACTATGTAATCTGATTATGTGTATCGAAAACAAAACGATACCATCATGAAATTTTTCGATATTGTTGAGTGCAGAGGGAAGGAAACAAGTACTTTTGATAGGTGTTTCATATATGTACAAGCGTAGTATAATTACATCTACTATTATACACTGTTGCATTTCAGTTATACTCATCATGTGTTATTTCCCCTCTCTTTTAAATTATGAAATTAATTATTTACTAAGTGACTTTAGGCAGGTAAAACAAATTATTGTTTTTCCCTGTATTATATTTATTTTTTGCTTATCCCACCCCAACTTTGTTTCAGATAATTTTCTGTTTCTGTATTGAAACGTGATATTTAATCTAAAAAAAGAGAAGTATTATTATGAGTGTTCATTCCCTTTAATACATTTTTATGATAGAAGATACTTCTAAGTTGGATAATGAATAAAATATTTTATTCATTTTCTTATCAACTACTCCATCCTTCTCCCTCCCCCTCACACACACATTATCATTCTGTAAATTCAAATATTTTCCCATTTTTCTTTGAGGATACACTTGTGTTCATTCAGCTAGTCATGATTAATATCACTATTAATCAGTTTTGAGTGCTGTTAGAAATATGAGGGCGGTTATCAATTCCCGGTTGCCCACACCGTAGAAGGGTTCTTCTAGAGGTACCTGAAGAATTTCGGTTAGAGATGGTTTTAATAACCTGACAGAGCGACTGCAGTGCTCAAGGGACAACTGCTTGAGCCCGATCACACACGACCTTTTCGTGAGTAGTTCTTGTGTTAGCTCCGTACTTGTTGAGACCTTACCGCCAGAGACGGATATCCGTGGGATAAGGCGAGACGTGTATCTTACGGTCGACCTATCTAACCACACCCCTCCTTGTGAGACGGCAGTACCGCTGTCGTGCTGGTTGTCTGAAGGAAACAGCTTACTGCCACCACACCTCTGTACAATCAACAGTACGACTTCGGACCCTGGGTTTGCGGTGTTTAGTCTTACCGTTCCTCAACCGGCACGTTAGAACCTTGAGGAACGAATGTCCCAGCCAGCATAGCTTGATTGGTTCATCACGATAGGCAAGCCCGACCACGACGTCAAGGTAGCAAGAACGGTCTGCTTTATTCAGTATAATATTTTTGGTACAATATAGAGTCCTCAGCACATAGTATTTCAGTAAGTTACCTTTTCTTATTTCTTGATCGATCCCTGCCATAAATATTGAGTTGATCACCAGTTAGATGTTAGCAATTCAGGAATAGACATCTGTATAATGTTCATTCTTTGTAATTCATATTGCCAACAATCACAATATCTCTGATTGAGCTCTTTTTCCTAAGTTGTACACTTTTCAGAAACACACCTGAATAGGTTATGAGACTGATAAGCATAATAAAACCAACAGAAGAAAAAAATCTGATAAATTGTTGAAATATCTAAATGGAAGGTATAGGTAGCTCAAATATTCTAGTAAGTGATAAGTCTTGCTACTTGAACGTTATATTCAGTCCCTAAGCTATTCTCGGAACCCCCGAGCTAGAACTACACAGCGACCTGAACACGAGAGAAAAGGTGCAAAATATACGAGAAGCACTTTAATCCAAAGGTTCGTTTAAGTACAGAAAATATAGGGTCTTTATAGTATTTTAGATGTCCTTGGGTTTCCCGAAAATTCTGGAATACTACTAAACATAGTAGTAGTATAGTAATCAGCCTATCAGAAACTCGAAATGTGACTTTTCACTTTCTTGATTTTTCTGGCTAAACTTCTACTGAACACTGACTAGATAAAATGCTTCTTAGTGTTTCCTGAGTCTTTTTTGTCTTTTGCTAGTTTTCTGGATCACTTCAACAGTAATCTCTTTTGTTTCCACCTAAACTACTGATAAATTTCTTAAAAACGAAAAACTAGAAATGAAACGTTAACTTTATTAATCCATTTCACATGGACAACAACAACAACGCCAACACCAACAAACATTCTACTTTCATTCATTTTTTTTCTTTGATCTTCATCTTTCATTTCGAAAAAAAGGAAACGAAACCAAACAATTATGGTTCTTCTTCTTCTTCTTCTTGTTAACATTTAACTACAACATTAATGTTTATATCGGTTTAACCTTTTGAACAATAATGTTTGTCTAAATGTTTGACAGATTATTCTTTTTCTCTTTTTCTAAAATTACAAATTACAATTTTCTCTCTGATTAATTAGTCTAAACTAAAGAAGAAAATAAAATGATCAATCCATTTTGACTATTATTTAATCTAAACATTAGGAATAAGAAAAAAAAACGGGATACTCCTACCCAATAATTCAGGGTTTGAAAAGTCGGGAAAAATAATATGAAAACTTCGTTAATACGATAAAAATGATCTTAATGATCATGTAGTAGTATTCCAACATGAGACAATAGGTTTTAAGCGTTCTTTAAGCCTGAACGCTTCAAGTCAAGCTATTTTGTATAAGCTATATTGCTATGTAGAACTGAAGGTCTTATATGAAACTGGAGGTTCACCATTGGTATTATGGATAGTTCGGCATTACTTTAGCAAGTTTTGCTGACTGTTCATGTGCAAAATTAGTTTGCTAGTTAACCGATTTCATTTATAATGGTGGTTGCTTTTCACTGTTCTCAAGGCCATTGTCATTGGGATATTGTAAGGCCTGTCGCCACTGCTAACATTATTGAGTCTGACTGTTGTGTAGGCGGGATAGGTCAACTTTGGCCTGTTCGTGCTGTGCATCATTGATTCACCCGATCATTGATCGGAATAATTATTCATGTGATGTGAATGTTTATATGAATGGTGCAAATGGTCCACCACTGTGGTTGGTACCTGTGTGGTTGCACCACAGGATTGAGCTGTACTATTCAGATTGTAGCGTTAAAGCCTATATGGTGTCTGGTCTTTCTGACTATCATTACTGTCTCAAATATTCTGACTCTGTTTACTGTCTATCCTGTCAATTTTATCCTGTTTTGCTAATGTGGTTTGTCAACTAGTGCACATTTATGCTAGTCCTTACGTTGATTATGACTGACTTATATTTAATATGCTTTATATCACCACGTTTCTCAATTAAGTCTTCTTTTCTTGCCTTTAACGGTGCATTATCTTCCTGCGAACTATAGTTGGTACTTCCGAAGCATATCAAGAAAAGATTCAGAACGTCTTTTATTATTAAAAGGAAATATTCGTGGACATTTCTGGTTCGAGCTAGTGAAACAACAAATGGTAAGTGCCTCTCTCACGCTTTGTATATGCTTTTTACTGATGATAAATTGTTTAAATAAATTTCTCTGGTTAGCATTTTCTCACTAAGATTCCTTTCTAACGGGATTGATTTGACAACCTCGCTCCTAATTGTCTTTATTCGGGCCTAGTACCCGCCATAACCTATGAAGGGATCCAGAAAGAATTATTACCGATAAAAGCCGATTTCTAATTATGCTTCATTACTGTATTTCAGCTTTATTGGTTGACAAGTAGATCGCGAATGTTACTGTCACTCGCTTAGATACTGTATTATGAACGCTTAGATAGTAGAACAACTTCGGTATCTACTGTATGTACCAATCATTATAAAGGAGTGTTTAAATTTTCAACATCATAATTGATTGATCACTAAGTGGTCGCAGTCCGGATAGCCCAGTGGTAACGTGTCTGACTGTGAAGCTGGGTGATACGGGATCGAATTCGTCAGGGAGCACGAGTTTCCTCAAGATTACAGGTACAGCTTGCTGTCGAGTGCTAAGTAGCATGAAACCCGGGTCCAGGGTTTCCTGTTGACTACCTCCAACCAACCACCATCTTAAATTTTCAACATGCTTGGAACTTATGCAATACGTGTATAACTTTGCTTACTGATTAATCTACAAACACAAGTCTCATGAGTATAGTTCACTGTAAAGTAAAAAGATTCAAGCTTATTTTTTAAATCTGATTTACGGAAAGTAGGTATAACATGTTCTGATAAGTAGCTGATTTGGACACGCATATACTAAGTGTAGCAAGATTGGACGACTACAGTTAGGAACAGTTAAATACTCAATTTTCTGTGGTTTATGATTATTTTTTTATATTTCATTATTGTTTCTCTTTTCTTCTTCAACATAAGGTGCTCTATCCTTGTCAGTGCGTGATACAGAACAACAAAGGGGTGAAACTGTAAAACATTATAAAATTAAACAATCCTCTGAAACTGGTGATGTGTATATAACTACAAAACAAGTCTTTCCTGATTTAAAATCATTAGTTATTCATTATTCTAATCAAGCGGATGGTTTATGTTGTTGTCTTACACGTCCATGTCCAAGACCACCTCCTGTACCAACTGATTTATCAAGATTAACAAGAGATCAATGGGAAATTTCACGTTCTTCGTTGAAATTAATTGAATTATTAGGTGCTGGTCAATTTGGTGAAGTTTGGAAAGGTAAATTGTACTGATACTGTTGTATTTTGAAATAGTTTATGATATAAATTTATGAAGTATAAATTTGTAGTGTTTAGCTTTAATTACCTTCAACTTACTTACTTACTTACTTACTTACATACTTAGTTTACGCCCGTTAGCATAGGCAGCCGACCAGAATTCTCCAACCCACCCTGTCCTGCGCCTTCTCCTCTAGGTCTATCGAATTGTTGTTCATTCTTCTCATGTCTATCTCCATTTCTCAGCGTAATGTGTTCTTTGGTCTTCCTCTTCTCCTTTGGCTTTGAGGATTCCATGTGAGGTCTTGCCTTGTGACGCAGTTAGATGCTTTCCTAATTGTGTGTCCTATCCACTTTCAGCACCTCTTCCTGATTTGTTCCTCTACTGGCATCTGGTTTGTTCTCTCCCACAGTAGGTTTTGTTGCTGATAGTGCTTGGTCAATGAATCCGATGTATTATGCGCAGACTGCTGTTAATAAACACTTGTATCTTCTTGATGATTACTTTTGTAGTTCTCCAAGTTTCCACTCTATACAGTAGAACTGTCTTGACATTACCTTAAACTAAACGATGTAATTTATCTTTCAATGTTAGAACTAGATCTGTTTTTAAAATAGAAAACAATCATCTTAATAAGAGTTAAATGGTAGATATCTGTCGGCTGGTTAGAATAAAATTAAACGAAAATATGGAAAAATATCTGATCAAACAACGAAAGAAGCTTATTCCTATTAAATAATAAGACAATAAGTAACATGGAATACTTACGCGTAGAGTAATAAGTTATTGTTAATGTACATCAGTATAATGATTTCAAATCTACAACCATTGATGTATAGTCTTTTTTAAAGGTTGAATGAGAAAGCGCTTAGCTCTTCATACATCTCACACTAATAATCAACAATTTTATTGTTTCATAACACCCTAAGGAATAAGAAATCCCTTTACAGCCCTTGATATTAAAACTTACAAGGTATCATCTATTCAGAAAGAGAAAATAATGTCATAATTAATCGAATACTTTTATAGTGAACGAAGATTTGGTGGGCGATAAGCACATAGTGATTTAGTAAAATGTAAAAATCATACATTAAGTACATCGTTTGCACACCTTTGAATCGTTTCTTACAAACTTCATTCCTGTTTTTATTACAATTACTCTCTGTTTACATTATTGTTCTCTTCAATTTGGTCTTCTGCTTCCAGGCATTCCACTTTGATCAGTGTTACGTACTACTTATATCTGTCAACATCAGTAGCACATACTGCACTTTATATATATACCTTAAATAATTAATGTTTTAATATGCAACTAATCTGTTTGCAAGTTTGTAATATAAGTGAACTGAATTTGTTAGTCGGCCTCGTATTTGGTTCATTACATGGTTTATTAGATTAAAATTACCGATAATACTACTAACTACTACTATTGAAACCTACATTATCTTATATTTTATGTCATTATTATTGAATTATTATAAAAATGATTTGTGTTTGCTATATGACAATTATTGGTGAATTTTAACAGTTTGCTGCAAAATTAATGTATCAGTATAGGGATTACTAAGTTTTCATTGAGATCATGAACCGTTTGATGTTAGACCACCATTGAAAACCTGGAAGCACTGAACGGCCGTGGGACTCCTCAGCAGTATTCATCCACAATCTTGCTTTGCGGGACTCGAACCCAGGGCCTTCGGTCTCACGCGCGAACCTTTAGATCGCTGAGCCGGCCGGCATCGAACGGTGTTAATGTCTAACCTCAACCAATCCACGAAATTGAGCGACCATCTTCCATTTTATTGTGGTAGATACCTGTCTATATCCGATTTCCAGGTTTTCAATGGTGTTCTAACATTAATCAGTTCATAAACTCAATCAAAATCCAAATTAATGAAAATAACCTTTCACTAATATCAATTTGAAGGTAGTTGTATTCGTAGTTGAACAATAAACTGTTTGAACTAATCACATATGTTCAGCTGAGACAATTTCAATAGAATCGGTTAATTTTAATAGATAGGCTGGTTAATTTTAAGAAAAGTGATAACGTAATTACAACTTATCATGGCAGAATAACATAGTTGTATATCGTTTTATTGTATGAACTGGTAATCAGTTCACAGGTTACACCTTATTCAAAGTTGTCAGAGGATAACTGATACAAATACCAGATTGACTGATTGTTTGAATTAGTATAAAGATTACACTTAGTGTTATATAAATTCTTGGAAAACAAACTGAACATCTGGTAAATAAATACCGTTTAAAGCTTCGTAATTTTATAAGCCATAATTTATTATTCAATGAGTTCATCCATCGAATACAACTCATGGTCATCCCAGGTTTCATAGATGTCTTATTCATGCATCTGCATTTCGAATAACTAAATACTTCTGAAGGAAAACTTTGTGAATGACTGTGTATGGAAATAAAATGCAAAACTCATCGGTTAAGCTTATCTGTGGTCCGATATAATGAGATTTCCTGATAAAATTTAAACTCATTTCACAAGCTAATACATTACCCATTAACCCATTGAGTTATTATGGGCTACTGAAGCGTGTACTTGTCCGATTAATTATTTTTTTTTCATGCTCCATAACTAGCTGAACTAACAAATTCAGAGATTCTAGATTGATTTCATTGAAAACTATCCATGAATATAGTCGATAATAATCTACTTAGTGTTTATTAATTCATCGCCCCCAAATGCCCTGGTACGACCGAGAGTGAAGAGAGTTAGCTCTCCCTCTTGAAATGCTCTCACATGGCCACGCGTATACAGTCACTGACAGTGAAGTCCTACTCACTCCTTTCTCGCAGCATTATTGTTGCCTACGAAATTGAGAGGACTAAAAGCGCTTTAACCGTGTTGGCGGATATGGAGGGTCCACCTACGGGAGTTGGAAAACCCTGATTCCAAATCAATGGTGCACATTTATTATTTATTTTATTTAAACACATAAACATTTGTACAAGGACGCACCAAATAGATATGCGCCACGTAAATCACTCGATTTGTGTTTGGGCTGGAATACTGTCCGGGTGCTCAACCGAAGCATGGGCTCCACGATCCTATAGGAACAAAAGGAGTATGAACCAATCGTTGGTCAGTGGCTACCATGGGACTGAATCTCCTGACGTTGCTCCACTGCCTTATGGATTATACTTTTAGGTTGAGGGCTCCGGGTATGGCCCCTTAAGAAAACCAAATGCTTCGTTTCGGGCACCCGGGCAGTATCTAAACCCTTACACAAATCGAATGATTTATGTGGCGCATCTCCATACCACCTTTTATTTCACTAAGATAATCCATTCTCTGAAAGTATTTGATACTAACTTCTTATGTCATCTGTTCAAACATATTCTGATCGTCATTATAAAGTTATTTTCTTATTCATTAAGTTAATCACTTTATTACTACTATTATAATTATTTATTAAATGAAAATATTCAGGAAAATGGAATGAAACTATTGAAGTTGCTGTGAAAACATTAAAACAAGGTACAATGACTAAAGAAGAATTTCTTAAAGAAGCACGTATTATGAAACAGTTACATCATCCAAGACTTGTACGTTTATATGCTGTAGTTACAGCTGAACCAATTTATATTATTACTGAATTAATGAAAAATGGTAGTTTATTAAATATTTACGTGATGGTCCTGGCAAAGAATTAGGATTGAAACCATTAATTGATATGATGGCACAGGTAAATTGGAATCATAATTATTTCATATTTTATGTGTGCTATCGTTCATTGATTTACAATTAATTAATCATTAGATGGTGATCAATATCATGTATGTCAGGTCCTTCTTAGTGCAAATCGAATCCTATCGACCAAGTTTCAATGTTGCCACCAGTCTAGATGACTGGAGATTGTGTGCACTATGTTGAGATAAGATGGTGGTCGGAGGTAGTCAACAGGAAACCCTGGACATAAGTTTCGTGCTACTTGGCACTCGTCCGCAAAGTGTATCTGTAATCTTTAGGGAACTGATGCTCCCTGATGGATTCGATCCCGTGTCATCCAAATCAGTGGTAACGTCTCTAACCGGGTACTTTTGCATGACATTTGTGGTTTAAAAAGACCACGATTTTCATAAACATAATTCTCAGACAATTATTTTACGTCATTTCGTCGATTATTCAAGAAGTCTGAGCATAGTTATTATAAAGACGATAGAGAATAGTTTATGACCCGCTAAAATATCCAAATTTATACTAATCTTCTTTCGAATAAATGAATTTTCGTATTGAAAATGTTCTATTTCAACGTAGGGAATAACCATGGTAAATTTGTAATTCATGTAGAATCATTATGAATATCAAAACTTATTACATTTCGAAGGAAAAAATATCCTTGATTTCGACGACGTACTTAATCATGTCAAGTATACGGCACAGAAAGCTACAACGTCATTTTTAGCGTCCTCATGTTCACCAGTATTATATAGCTGCACTGTAGTTCTCCCTTAATTCATTAACTGAATTGTTTATAATTTTTAACAGTATAATGTTTAGTGAAGATCATAGCATTTTCATAGGTATCAGATATCGACCTGGTCTTAGTTAGATCACCACTGGGATCTTGAAGGCACTAGACACCATTTCGTCCCAGTGTGGGATTCCTAAGTAGTGCACATGGACGACCCCACATCAGGGAATCGAATCCAAGACCTTTCTCCAATGTCTAACTTTTAGACCATCAAGCAGGTATCTATTTTTCTCATTCTGATCACTTCAAAATATTGGACGACAATCTTTCATTCCGCACTCTTGAAATGGTTAAACTGCACTGTTTATAATTTATCCAGAAGGTTGAAATCCTGAAACGTATTTCTGAAATCCCCTTATTTTACACAACAATGGAATTAAAATTCATCTAAGTAGATGTTATGTGATTTTAACTTTTTTCTCAGCACTGTTTACATGTTTCTATTGCTTTAACAAATGAAAATTAAACAACTGAAACAAATTCATAACATTTGAAGAATGGTAAAGATTGGATTATGCAAGATCTCACAACTAGTTTAGTTAAGGTACAACGTGGATGCACCTGTGCCATGTCTCTAACCATCGAGGATCCCAACCAGATAGTCTACACCTACCTTGTTTTGGTCTGGCAGGCTATAACGTTTTTTCCAACCTACTCCTACACCATAAAACATCGCACGCCGGGGAAGTCGGTTGTTGGGCATACGCGTAACACGCGTCCCAGCCACCTCAGCCGATGAATTCTCACTACTTCATCAGTTGATTTGCAATCCTTACCTAATATCCGTTCCCTAGCAACTACATTACTTACTCGTTGGTCCAGGGTATACGAGCAATGCTTTGAAGACACCTATGAACGAATACTAGTAACCTACGAGCATCCTCCACTCTTATAGGCCATGTTTCACAGCCAATAAAGTAGGACGGAACGAACTGCTGCACAGCAGACTCGTCCTTTGGTTGGTAGACGGGTATCTCACCTACGCCATAAATGACGTAAGTTGGAAAAAGCTAGTAGGGCCTTCTGTATCCGTGCTGAGATTTCGTCACACCAGACCGCAAAGGTTGATGAAACTCCCAAGTGAAGCAGTCGACACGCTCAACTACTTCACTCCCTATCGTTAGTTCTGTTGTCGATGCAACCCAATCCTGGAGCAACATTTTAAAAAAAAATAATAATAGTAATCCAAGGTTCGATTTTATAGACATATAGAAATCACTTCAATCTTTCATTAAAATTACACCTTGTTGTCAATGAATCTAGTAAAAAGCTCACATTATCACTTAATAATTGAGTGTATTTCATTAGTAAACTTTTTTATACCTGCAACTTTTTCAATCATCACCTTTTCTTTCTTCCTTCTTCTTCATAGATTGCCAGTGGTATGGCTTATTTAGAAAAGGAACATTATATTCATCGTGATTTAGCCGCAAGAAATATACTTGTCGGTGAAAATAATTCAGTGAAAGTTGCTGATTTTGGATTAGCTCGAATTATTGATAGTGGAAATGAAACATATACAGCTAAACAAGTAGTTTATTATTAAATGATTCAATATTTTAGTTTTATTTAAAGGAAAAAAACTTTTTATTAATTTCCATGAATTCTCATGCAGAAAATCGAAAAGTTAAACACAACCAAGTCTAATAGTTCAGTAGTGTTAATGTCTTGAATAATTGGCTTTATAAGTCAATTGAATCTAGGAAACTATGGAAAACCTGGAAGCACTGGAAGGCCGTTCCATTCTACTACGGGACTCTTCCTTGGCAGTGCGCATCCACGATCCCGCACCGCGAGATTCGAACCCAGAACCTATCAATCTCGCGCGCGAACGCTTAACCTCTGAACTGCTGAGCCGTCCGGCAACTAATGGTGTTAATGTCGGACTTCCACCATTGTCTTCAGTGAGTTACTATCTCACTGGTCATAACTTCTCACTAGAACTCCTGGAAATACCTCTTGGAGACAGTCACTAGTAAGCATATTATGATTATAATCAGATAGCGTTTCTGCGGAGATTGTAGTAATTTAATAATATCATTAAATTTTTATTATAATTAATACACATATTTAGTTAGTTTACACTAGAATATCCACAAATTACCAGTGTATAGATTCACGAGATGGTTGTACAAGGTTTACTTGAAATTATACTTGAACGTAGCAGACAAACTCTAAGTGATTTATTTCAATCACTAGAACGTACTTGTCTAAATTTGGTTTTAGTTTATTGAGATCATGAACCGATTGATATTAGACCACCGTTGGAAACCTGGAATCACTAGATGGCCGTTTCGTCCTATTGTGGAGCTAATCCGTGTCGGGTAGAAACAGGTATCTACCTCAGTACAATGGAAGATGGTCGCGCAATTTCATGGATTGGCTGATGTTAGACACTAACACCATTGAATGCCGGCTCAGTGGTCCAGTAGGTTAAGCGTTCGCACGCGAGGCTGAAGGCCCTGGGTTCGAATCCCACGAGGCAGGATCGTGGATGCGCACTGCTAAGGGGGAGTCCCACAATAGAACGAAACGGTTGTCCAATGCTTCCAGATTATTAGTGGTGGTCTGACATCAATCAGTTCATAATCTCAATCAAAAACTTAATAATCTCCACAACCCTATACTGGTTTTATTTTAGTTCACCAATTAAGTTGCATAGAAACTATCTGTTAAGAAACATATGATCATGGATGTTATTTACTATTAAAATATACAAGGGGTAAAGATGCCTATTACTTATATATCATTTTAATTTAAACTGATGACGTAACTTTATTTTGTTTCATTTTCTTCTTTTTTTAATATTAGGGTGCTAAATTTCCTATAAAATGGACTGCACCAGAAGCTGCATTAATGGGTAGATTTACAATTAAATCAGATGTATGGTCATTTGGTATTGTTATATATGAAATTATTACTTATGGACAAGTACCATTTCCATCAATGAATAATACAGAAACATTACAACAAGTAGAAAATGGTTATCGTATGCCATGTCCATTAAATTGTCCTAATTCTATATATGAAATAATGTTAAATACATGGAATGCTAAACCAGAATGTAGACCAACATTTGCTTTTTTATGTAATTATTTTGAAGATTATTTTACATCATCTGAATTGTCATATCGTCCAGCTGATAATACTAATAATATTGATGATATTGATGAAAATGTTGATGATGATATTCGAATGTTTCATTGTAATAATATAAATGATCATGATCATTGTCAAAATAAACATCATTTAGAGAAACGTAAATTAAATTCAACGTTATTAAGTCAAGATACAACTATCCTATATGATCAACGTAATAATAATAATACGAATACGAATACGAATAATAAACAAAATGAACATTCTCCATTGCATCATTTCAATGAGAATTCAATGACAACACAACAATTATCAAATTCATCGCATATTTGTACAGTTCAAATGTGTTAATCATCTAATGTTTGTATATATATACCACACACACACACACAATACAAGATTTAAAATAGTTCACAACTCATTCATTCATCCTTTCATTGTTTCATTTGAATTAGTTCCCTTCTGTTTCTCCTCTTCTTTTTTTTTTTAGTTCTTCTTTCAATTTAAACAAATAATCATTATGTATTCAACTTTTAACTCAAATTTTCTTTTGAACGTTTGAAAGTGCCTTGTATTATTGACTTTTAATTACTTATTATTAAACAATAGTCATTCATTATCATCAAAATAAACTTGATTGTTTATTGATTTTTAATTTATTGAACTTTGATCCAGGGCCTAAACAACATTATGGAAGAAAACACTTTTCACTCTCTCTTTCAATATATATATGTATTCTTTCCTATTATGAATTCTTTTCTTAAAAAAAGAGGAAAAAAAAAGATCCCATCTCCCGGTGTTTGTTTATACAACTGTACAAATAAGGATAATCATACAACTATAGTAATAATAATAATAACAACAACAACAAACAAAACATGTTTTATACCCCTTTCATCATAGATAATTGAAATTGAATTTCTTTTAAAGGTTATTCACTAGATAATTTAGAGATAAAAACTTTTTTAGTGAACATTAAGTAAACTAATTTTTTTTTCATTGATTTACTCCTTTTTTTTTAAATTGTAGTAGTAACTATGCAAGAAACTTTAAATAATGGAAATCAATATTTCCTTTATATCAATATTCATCATCTTTGATCATTATATATGGGCTCATTTCTTTGTATTTTTTCTTCTTCACATCATGACAATTGCATTTGGGGGGGCGGCGGCGGCGGAATCTCCCTTCATCATTGATACATTCGTTTCTGATTTTTCTTCATTTAGAGGTTAGAAGTTAAATATTGTCTGTTAATAGGGATATGCTTTAATTGTTGCCTAATTATAGAAGTTTTTTCTTTTTTTTTTAATATTTTTTTTAAAAAGTGAATAAAATTAATACAATGAATAATGTTAGTAAGATTGTCTTTTTATACTTTCTATTTAGCGCATAGCAATTGGATGATACATTGACCGTTTCAATGAATCATTTCAACAATTTCTTTGTTCTTGTTTCTTTTGTTTCTGGTGAATTTTTTTTAGTTACAGATGATAATCATTCAATTCAAATAGGTTTACTCTTCATTTAAATATCAACTTGATAATAATAATTATTATATCTTATTTGTATAATTTAATAGGATTTTCCATTTCATTTATGCATTACATTTAATAAACATGTTGTACTATTGATAGATTGTTTGGATTCCTTTTACTTCGTCTACTTCTTCATCTTCTACTCATATCTTTTGATGGTCATTTTCTTTTTTAGTGTCTTGTCTTTTTTTTATTGATTTAAATTAGATAATACAAAAGAGAAGATGACGACATCAACAACAACCTCAGGATGAAATAATGATTGATAAGAAAAAGTGTCATTGTCGTATGTATTTGTTATTGTCTTTTCTTTTCTATCCTTAACTAAATAGTTGAATAGGGGATCTTAAATAATTCATTGAAATCAGTTCAGCGTAACAACCATAAATTCACTTGATTAGGTTAGTAGTGCTTTTTAAATTTATTCAAACAATCGAACTATACAATACTTTTATGTTAAAATGCAGTTATTCAACAGCTACAATGGTCTTTAGTGCTGTTAGAGGTATGAGGGTAGTTATCACTTCCCTGTTGCCCACATCGTAGAAGGGTTCTTCTGGAGGTACCTGAAGAAGCTGGGTTAGAGATGGTTTTAATGACCTGATAGAGTGACTGCAGTGCTCAAGGGACAGCTGCTTGAGCCCGATCACACACGACCTTTTCGTGAGTAGTTCTTGTGTTAGCTCCGTACTTGTTGAGACATTACCGCCAGAGACGGATATCCGTTGGATAAGGCGAGATGTGTATCTTTACGGTCGACCTATCTAACCACACCTCTGTATAATCAACAGTACGACTTCGGACCTTGGGTTTGCGGTGTTTAGTCTTACCGTTCCTCAACCGGCACGCTAGAACCTTGAGGAACAAATGTTCCAAGCACTACAGCTCGATTAGTTCATCACGATAGGCAAGCCCGACCACGACGTCAAGGTAGCAAGAACGGTCGGCTTTATCCAGTATAATATTTTTGGTACAATACAGAATCCCCAGCACAAAGTATTTCAGTAAGTTACCTTTTCTTATTTCTTGATCGATCCCTGCCATAAATATTGAGTTGACCGCCAGTTAGATGTTACCAGTTCGGTCTTTGCTGATACATAAGCACACTGTGAGGGTTGCCCCGATATACCCATTTTATCATAGGTTTCTAATAGAACAAATGGTTTGCTATTGGCTGAGAAATTCATGAAGCGTGTTCTGTTCTACTCGGGACTTGTCAGCTAGGTTTACTTCACCATTATTACTAGATCTCTGCACCTTTTGTTTTTAACGCCTGTCGCATTATCAACTAGTCTACACAGCCGTTCACTTGTGAAACAGGTACTATACTTACATGAATATTTAGGGCGAAAGGTACAGGGTATGAGTCCTGGTTAACACTGCTCACCACAATCTATCCATTCTGTTTGACTCAATGTACGCTAAGACAGTATAACAAACTCATTAAAAATAAAAGGCCTTACTAGTAAGTAATGAGCATAATTATTAATGTTTAATAAACCTCACCCATCTTTACTGGACTGTAATACCAACATTTTAAGATAAAGTGACATCTACCATTAATAAATGAAAAAAGAACATATGCGGACTAGTCCCTGTTGCTTGATGCTATCAAAATGATGTATGGTATGATTGAAACAACTATTATTGTACAAAGTATACAAATAATTCAGGTTTGTAAAGAAATCAAACACATTCATATTCTTTTGCTTCGAGTACTCCTGGTTGACTTAATACTTGAATTTGACATAATTGAGTGTTTTGTTTTGCTGAGGTTCGATTTCCTTTTTTTATTTCGCTTTGGTAGTTTGGATAACACAATATCAGTTAACATTTTAAATGCCTTCTGGACTTTTTGGACATCATACTGATCCGAAAGAATCTTGGAAAGATAAGTACAATATCTTTCAACATCCATTGCTAAACCTTCTTCATAAGTCATTTGTTCATATTGCTTGGATTTGAGGAAAGGGCACTTCGGTGAATGACTTTTATGCTCTTTGTCTGGATCATCCTAAAAACGAAAAAAATGAAAGCATAAGTACCGTATGCAAATGTGAAATTCCAACAGGATATGTTCTGAGCATCAAGCCCAGAACTAATTGAAGAACTTAACTAAGGACATATTGAGATTGTATGATAGATTTGATACTTTTAATGAAAAACAATAGGCATAAAAGCATCCAAACAAGAGTAAGTGTTGGACTACATAACTGATATCTCGGGCGAATAGCTTTCTTTATCTGAATGTGCAGCAGAGCTTAATGGTTTAGCTGCTCGAATTTCAGCCACTATGGTTTGGGTTAAGGCCCCACACTAAATGCCTCGGTTTGGGCAATCTTGTGGTATTGCTAGCCCTTACGTTTAGCGTGGCTTATACCCGAAGTACCTAGTAAGTGAATTAGTTTTTTTAGTTATCTGAATAATTATGAATCTATGCATTCAACTTTCTCTTATTCTCATGGGGTGATGGGATTATATGTCATAAGAGTAAATAATTTTATATTTCATCCAACACCTTGAGCAATTTCGCAAAGCCGAGATATAGCTTCTAACCATGTAGCTACTCAATTCATGGAAATAGAAATCTGTAATTTATTAAGTTTATTAAGGCATTCAGAAAGTAGCGTCGGTAGTCGATGAATAAGGAGGAAACTTCATTGAAAAAATGACTATAATTGTGAGATGTATATTTTCACTGCATTCATTCCACTTTACTTTAAGTCTACTCTATGAACCCTTTCATAAAAGATGATTTCTCCTATTCCAAAGCTCGTCTTTTCACTTCTGTGTAACTAAGCACTACGACTTTTGTTGGAAGCTGCCAACAAACGTGGGTGAACAATATTTCAGTGAACATCACAGAAGTGCATAACTGTTCCCATTATTATTACAAACACAAGGTACATTTATTCGCATCTCATAAAAGAAATGAGAACAAGCACCTAATTCTTTAAATAGCCGCTTCTGAGTAAGAAATGAACCTTAAACTAATATAAATAATAAAAATTCGGGAACCTTAGAACACATTTTATTTGAGTTTGGGAAAAGCAGGTAACACGAATCCACATTGATGAACATACTGTTAATCATAACTTTTTCAACGGTTAGCGTGACTCTTAATAAATACTGTTGAAGAATCTATCACCCTTATTCCCATCAGCTCACCGCATTACATAAAATGGAACATAAAGATACAGGAGTAGTTTAAGATTACACAATGCTACAATCTACGGTATACCTTCGTGAACGTGCAAAAATCAATTACAAATACTGGCACCAATAAAAACACACAACCACTTTGCTCGTATTAATAGGAACTTGTAAACGTCGTGAGACGTTCATAAAATTCAAATAGAGTGAAACATTTTGAGTTTCATATATTCAGTCAGTCAGTAACAACGTAGAACTTCGTACATATGTACATCAGTTCGAGTTGCCACACCACATTAGCACAGAGATGCAGTTGTCGATTCAAATCCCGTAGTGGTAGAGGTAGCAAGAGTATAAGCAGTAATCGGGAAGATTAGGGTTTGGAGATGTTATTTAAAGAGTATAATCCAGTGAAATAAATTTGGAAAGAGGAAAAAAGGGACATGAAGGATTCAGAAGATTAGAATTTGGGAGAACACAGAGAGTGGATGCACCTGCGCCATTGCAAACGATTTTGAGCCATGTCATTCAGGGTCTCTAACCATCGGTTGCTATCATCTCGCGGTCCCCAACCAGGTAGTCTACACCTACCAACATGACTCAGTCCACTTGTCAGTGACTTCATGGACTTGTGCCATGTTTTGGTTTGGCCGCCCCTAG